ACCTTGGGGCTCTCGAGAGCCTCGGCTGGCTGTGCCCGGGCGCCCCTCGAACCCACCCCAGGACGCAGGCGTCACAGGCTGAGGAGAAAGTGGGAACCCCTCGGTGCCCGGTGCCACTTCCTCAGGGTGGCTTCCGGCGCGGCGCTGGGCCTCTCTGTGCGTTCGTCGCGGCCCTCAGGGAGGCGTTTTCTCCAGCAGGAGCAGCCCACCAGGCGGGACTCGAACCCCTACTGCCATCGCGAGCCGCCCCCGCGGCAGGCGTGGGCCACCTCGTCAAGGCCCGGCCGCCTCACTCTCGAGGCGGGAAGGAGCCGCACGACGGCCGCCTCCGGATGCAGCGGTCCCCGGGACGCGCTCCATGGCCCCGCCTCCATCCCCCGCGCCGACTCGGAAAACGCTCGGGAAGAATCCCCGGGGCCTCGGGGACCGGGACCAGGACCAGGCACCGGACGCTGACGGAAAGGCGGGGACACCCGGAGTTGACAAAGTCACAAGGCCACTCGCAGAGTCCTCGCGCGCGTGTTCATCGACTGCCCCCTGGGCGGTGACCTTATTCAGCAAGACCTGAGCTCGGGGAGCGGGGTGACATCTAACTGGAGTCATGGCGATGGAGCCACGTGGTCAAACAGTGCCCCGTTCTTGTAACCAGGGGGCCTGCAGTGTCACCACTTTCTCAAAGTGAGGCCACTGACCTCAGCTTCTTGGAGACAGTAGATATGAGCAGAAACCCCCAAAAGTCAGGAGCAAATTTGTTTCAGAATCTCTCTAAATCTGTGGCTTAAAACAAGTTCAGAGGGATTTTGATGCACAGCTACAGACTGAGCTGGTTTACTGCACATTTATAAATGGAAATCTTTATTTCTTTTCCTCTCTCTGTTTTTAAGAAATCCTGTTGCAAGGTCATTAATCACGTTATCCATTATACCAGAAACAAATGGATTTGTCACTTGTGCGCAGAAGCCGAGGTTGATTCTGAAAGCAAACTGTATCAAAATAAATGAAATTATTATGATAATATAAACTAGACTGCAGTGATTAATCTCTAGAAACCAAATTCTGACCTGCTTTGCACATTAAACAATAGCTTCTGTTATGTAAATAGTTGTGGGGTTTACAAGGACATTATTGCTAAATTACAAGAAAAGTTCTATTCATGAAAATCTCTTCGTGGATAAAAATGAGAGACAGGAACCTGGTCTACAAGGTATCCAAAGCAGAGGACAATGGAAGTAGTGATGGTCCAGGTAAGAATATTCATTAGCAGAAAAAGGTATGGATGGGAGATTTGGGGTGAGTAATGGGCTCATGTTTCTGTTAGCCTGCATCCCCAGGAGGTGTCAGTTTCACCTTGTAAGTATGACCTTGACTGGACTCATTCTTCCCACATCCTTTTTCAGCTGGATGAAAACTTGAAAAAGTTCAAATAAACCTACATATGCACAAATTACAATAATGAAGGCAACAGGGTTGCAAAGCGCTTTATGCCTTGTTACATTTCAGATGATTCATAAGGCACCAAATCCAGACGTTTTCAAAATTATTCAGATAACGATGTGACTTTTCCATTTTCACTCATAGCTTTGATGTTCGTCTTTACTTGTAGACCTAGGTGGCCCTTAATTGGATGTGACAATAGAGTATTATCATTCCTATATTGTTCCATATATCTTTTCTTGACACACAGACTGATACATTCATATTTGCAACTACTTGAAATAGAAGCTTGTTCCTTTAATAAATAAACAAAATCAAGTGTATTTCCAGAATTCTAATTTCCTCCTAAACAAAGAAAGCAGTGTACAAGAGTAAAAATAGCATATATCCCAATATAATTACTCCTAAACGTCTTAAAAGAGATTCCAGTATGAGAAGTGATCAGTGAAATTGCCAAAGCTCAAATGGAAAGACCCAGACATTTGAAATGTTATTTTCTTTGGAGGCAGTATAATTAGAGGCTTAGTTAACAGAGTACCATGCTATTTACAGTTTTATCTTCTTGGTGCAATGAAAAGCCTGCTGGCTTAGGAATGAGGGATCCAGTGCTAATTCTAACTCTGTCACTAGCTAATTGGTTTGGGGCAAGTCATTTCTCCTCTCTGGACTTCAGTTTCCTTGCATATAAGATAAGGGCGGGGGTGGGGGCCAGGCACAGTGGCTCCCGCCTGTAATCCCAACACTTTGGGAGGCTGAGGCGGGCGGGTCACAAGGTCAAGAGATTGAGACCATCCTGGCCAACATGGTGAAACCCTGTCTCTGCTAAAAATAAAAAAATTAGCTGGGTGTGGTGGCACCCGCCTATAGTCCCAGCTACTTGGGAGGCTGAGGCAGAAGAATAGCTTGAACCCGGGAGGCCGAGGTTGCAGTGAGCAAGATTGCAGCACTGCACTCCAGCCTGGCGATGGGGGGTGACTCCGTCTCAGAATAATAATAATGATAATAATAATAATTTTAAAAAGGTAAGACGATAAGACTCAACTGTCTAAAGGTGCTTCAGCTGTACTCAAGAGCTTGGTAGTTTGGAAAAGAAGGGATCACTGTTGGTGTGAGGAACGTTTCAGAAACTTGTTTTTTCTGTGTGTGTTATGAACCACCTGTAGCCAAAGGTGAATGTGGAAAGGCAGGGTCGTTGTGTAGTAGAGCAGGTAAACCTTCATATGCGGAGATGCTGTAGCTGTGGTTAAAACCTGCTCTCCACGACATGAAAGCTCATACTGGATTTACTCACAGCACAACAACTTTGTCTACCTGAAAGATCCTGCATGTATGACTCATGCTACCCATGAGGATGGTTATGTGAGTGGCAGAGACCAGGGCCCACAGATTTTCCTCCACTTGAAAAGTCGTGCAGATCTGCAGCAGTGAATCAGCTCCACCTAATCTCTTAGTGTAACTGATGCTGCAGCATAGTAACCACCCACTCATTCACTATGTCGGCTGGTCCCAGGTCAGCTGTGAGCCCAGTATGGACTTAAACCGTGTGCTGGGAATCCTGATGAGCTCATTCCGCCTCCATTTTATTGCCCCATCTGTTTGGTTCTCTTGTTCTTCTCACATGCATTTTTATCTTGGTCTTCTGGGAAATGTGCTAATTTCCACCATGGTGTGAGAGGATCCCATCTCATACTTTCTTACATTTCCTCCTGTCTTTCTCAGTGCCACTTGGGAAGTCAAGAATGAGAGTGTGAGCTCTAACAGAATCCAAGGACAGCTTCCTGCAAACATGAATCGGGAACTGTCCTCGGTGCTGAATTTCAATAGGAAGGGGGGAAATAAGAGACGTGTGTGTGTGTGAAATTCAGTGCAGATAAAACAGAATTTGGAAGCTCCAGAGGATCCTTACTAACACACTTTTATGCTTAAAATGCTAAGACGCTTTCAAGAGTGATTTTTTTTTTCACTAGATTGAACTGCATGATAGTGTAGAAAGGGCTTGAACTTCGGAGTCGGACAGCTTTACTTTCAGTCTCAGTTTTATGACTTGCCACTTTATCTTGAGAGAGTGATTTAACCTCTCCCCGCCTCAGTTTCCTCATCTCTAAAATCAAAGCTAAATTTACTACAAAATATTGTTGTTAGGCTTGAGTGAGATA